GTAACTCCAATCGACATGTTTATATTCACACTAATGCTCACATTACATAAGTGGAAACGTAAGATGATAAATCACTAGAATGAAGAAAATTAGTTAAAAACAACATAATTTCATTAAAATATTATATATATACAACCAAAAAAATCATGTGATAGGACACTTTGTGTTGAGATTTTGATTCAACCATTTCATACAACCAAACTGCATACCGATATTTTTTGGTCGGATCGATGATACGGTACAAGTTTACAAAATACATATTAAATTAAAAAAATGTGGTAATCAACCCACCAAAATTTTCATATCATAGAAATCGTTAGTAAACGGGATTTTTCGTTTTAGGTTTCATTTTCGTAAGCCTCCAAAATTTTCAGCTAAACAAGTTTTCTTCAGTAGGCTTTTCAGGAAATGGTATTTCTCTTTTGTTCGAGTTCTTTTTTCTAATTTCGAGAAGAAGAAAAAAAATATAATCGTTACTAAATGGACCCCTTTCTCTATTACCAAACTCGACTTTTTAGGTGAGATTAATTACAAGAATTTGAGCAAAAATTGAGGTTACGTAAAGTTGTACGAATTTCCCCTAATAATTTTAGTGCGATTTCTAAGTTGGGCACAGGGATCCTAATTTCCTTCATGCAATTGCACCAACATTTTCTCTCAACAATCATATTATTAATTCAACCTACATCGATATACGGGGTTCATAAAGACAATTGGTAATAACATATCAAGATTCCACTTCAACGTTGGAGTTTCACAGAGAAAGATGGTTGGAGAATTTCTACAACTAAACCATCACCATTCTTTGATATAGAGTTATGCAGAGGCAAGTTGAAAGCATGGAGGTAGGTCTATGTCGATTTCCTCTCCAGTAAAAACCATTTCTCTTGATTAATTGGTACGAGAGTTTATTAACATACAAGGACATGCATTTAGAATTTTAGATTCTTTCAATTTGGGGTTTAAGTGCTCGAACATGTGTATTTTCTTTTTAGCTCTAGAAGCTAATTATATCATAGTTCATATTTAATTTTGGGGGTTAGACATGCAACAATTAAATTTGGAGATAAATATTTGGTACTTGGAGAAATCTGACTCATTGACCTGTTACGAGAAGGATTGCAACAATTTTGCTGGAAATGTTCTCAAGCTTTTATGTTGGTGTGAGCTTTTAAAATATGTCTCTTTAAGGTATTGTGAAATCATAAGACATTGGTGATATTTTGCTTTCAATTTATTGAAATACTTTATTTACGACTCTAATATATTTTGTGCGTATTAAGTGAATTTCAAATTTACGAGACATAATATCAAATCTAGGACTGGCAATTTCGGTCCCTCATTTGTTATTATAATTTACAAAGTGTCTTTTCAAATAATATAATTTCATATCTATAACCTTTGTCGTGATCAACAAAGATTATAAATACTATAATATATTTTCATGGATAATTTTTGCACCAACTTATTTTCAATGTAATCTTATGTTCATACATCTTTTTTATGTGACTTCATTTCATTTTATATATATTGGTTGTACGAAAATTACTATATGGCCTACTTAAGTAGTGAAGAAAATTACTTTTTTTATTAAATAATTATATTTATTTCTTATATCACATTTCTCATATCCTTATTATATTATAACTTATAAGCACATTATGCATAGTTGAATTACCGACATAACTAAGATATAAAGACACATGTGACATGCATTTATGGGCATCTATCATATCAATTGTATAAATATCATTTTCAAGTCTAGACTCTCCCGGCCAACGAGCCGGGTCATTATGCATAGTGGAATTACCGATATAACTAAGATATAAAGACACATGTGACATGCATTTATGAGCATCTATTATATCAATTGTCCAAATGTCATTTTCAAGTCTAAACTCTCCCGGCCAACGGGCCGGACCTGGCGCTAGTTTGAATGATACGAAGAACAACCAAACAAGTCCTTAAATTGATAAAGAATGGTTAATTTTGTGAGAGAATTATAATATAAATTTATTTGTAACTTTTACCAACAAAGTTCAAATGAAATCCGGGGTACATTAGTGTTTGTATGGTGGCAAAATAATAAATTGCAAAGTTTTTTTTTTGTGATAAAATAAATTCTATTGACAATGTTGAGTGGAAAAACCTTAAAACCTGGGTTGTGTCTTGCATTGAGATGAATTTATATGTGGCATTGCCACTACAGGTTAAGGATCAGCTGCTCTGTCCTTTTACAGCAGAGTAAGAAGAAAAGGAAAATGCAACAGGGGAAAAATACAAAAGAGAGCCTATTGTGGCGGGTTCTGTGATGCTGTGCGGTTTAAGGCAACGATCGACTTCATCCCCTTTACGACGTCGCTCCATGTCTTTACTTTGGAATTTTCCATTTCAGCTGTTACCCCCCCCCCCCCCCCCCCCCACAAGCGGGTGGGCAGAGCATCTGGACACCGAGCTTGGATAGAAGAAAGCTGAATGTAGCTGGAGGAAGCGGCTTTGTGAAGAGGTCCGCGAGTTGATGAGAGCTCGAGACATGGAGGAGTTTAATAACTTTGGATTGCAGCTTTTCCCTGACTAGGTGGCAATCAATTTCGATATGTTTCGTCCTCTCATGGAATGTGGGGTTGCCAGTGATGTACAGTGCAGATTGATTATCACAAAAGATGGTTGCTGGTTGCGGGTGAGATACTCTGAAATCATTGAGGAGAAATAGGAGCCACTGTACCTTGCAAGAAGTGTATGCAAGGGCTCTGTACTCAGCCTCACACGATGAGCGAGAGACGGTATGTTGCTTCTTGCTCTTCCAAGAGATTAGGGAGTCTCCTAGATAGATGCAGTAGCCTGTGATGGAGCGCCTTGTATATGGGCAAGCAGCCTAGTCAGAATCGCTGTAGCCTTGAAGATAAAGAGTGGATGAGCTGGAGAAGAATAAGCCAGAGGTTGGAGATGATTTCAGATATCTGAGCACTCGAAGGAGGGCTTTGTAGTGAGTCTCATTTGGGTTTGCCATGAATTGACTTAGTTGTTGTGTGGAGAAACTGATGTCAGGCCTCGTCGTGGAAAGATAGATCAGTTTTCCCACAAGTTTCCTGTAATTTGCAGCATCATTGAGAGGTCGATCAGAGGCAGTGGACAGATGAGATTTGTAATCCATTGGTGTGGATGCAGGTCTAGAGAGAAGGACACCAGCTTCCTCTATGATTTCCAGTGTGTATTTCCTCTGGTTGAGATAAATTCCTGATGAATCCCTTGAAACTTTCAGACCTAGAAAGAACTTAAGATTCCCAAGATTTTTTATGCCAAAAGCCTGATGAAGGTGCTCCTTGATGTGATTGATTTCAGCCAGATCAGATCCTCCAGTGATGAGATCATCGACATATATTAGAATACATGTATAGGAGGTTGGTGTTTGTTTGAAGAAAAGGGAGTGATCAACCTGACTTGACTGATAGCCTTGAGAGTATAAGTTGTCTGCCAGTTTTGCAAACCATTAGTGAGGAGCTTGCTTTAATCCATAGAGGGATTTCTTGAGAAGACAGACTGGATTGGGGATATTTGCTGGTGGTGTGTAACCCTTTGGGAGCTTCATGTAAACTTCTTCATGGAGATCTCCATGAAGAAATGCATTGTTTACATCAAGCTGTTGTACAATCTAGTTCTTAGCTGCTGCAATGGCCAAGAATAGTCTCACTGTTGTCATTTTAATGACAGTAGCAAAGGTTTCCTGATAATCGACCCCTTCCTGTTGGCTGAAACCCTTTGCCACTAGTCTAGCTTTTTCTCTTTCAAGACAACCATCAGATAGAAACTTCAGTCTAAAAATCCACTTGTTACCAATGGCCTTTTTCTTTGGAGGGAGTGAGACAACATCCCATGTCTGATTCTGAATAAGGGCCTTGAGCTCAGACTGTACTGCATTATCCCATTCTGGGCTTAGAATGGCTTCCTCATAGGTTTCTGGTTCCTTGTAGGAGGATATGCTGAGTGCATACTTTTGATGTTGTGGTGATAGAGGAGAGTAATCAATGACAGCAGACAGAGATGCAAATTTACCTGATTGTGAAGGTTCAGTGGAGTGACTGGTAGAAGAAGACTGCTGGAGCAGGCTGCAATGGTATGGTTGTAGTCTTGTTGGTGGTTTGGTTTGTCTATGGGGTTTCCTAATGGCAATTGGAAGATTGGAATAAGGGGAAGGGGGATGGTTTGATGAGGACTGGATGTGATCAATTGAAGGGGAATTGGCAGGTGGTATGGGAGGTGTTTGGTGAGGTGCAGGTCATCAAGGAATGGAAGAGAGGGGTATAGTGGATTGTCATTAGTGTATGTTTCCTGGTGAATATGATGAAAGGGGAACTGATCCTCATAGAAGTGGACATCTAGTGAGATGAAAACCTCACGGGTTTGAAGATCATAGATCTTGTAACCCTTGATGCCACTGGGATAGCCTAGAAAAACACCTTTTCTGGCTCTGGTTTGGAACTTGGTTCTGTGGTTACTTAGGGTGGAGGCAAAGCATAAACACCCAAAGACTTTCAAGTCTGTCAGATCAGGTGGTTGTTGATGAAGTTGCTAGTATGGGGTGATGTCTCCTAGAACTGTGGTAGGGACTCTGTTTATTAGGAACACATCATGTTTGACACACTCACCCCAGAATCCTATTGGTAAGTTTGACTGGCATTTTAGAGCTCTGGCAATGGCCAATATATGCTGATGTTTTCTTTCTACTTTACTGTTCTGTTGTGGGATCTCAACGCATGACATTTCATGAACAATGCCAGTGGAAGCAAAGAAACTTGGCATGAGGAACTCTTTACCCTGATCACTCCTAATCTTTTTGACAGAATGATCAAACTGTTTTTCAGCAAGTAGACAGAATTCTTGTAGTCTAGGACCTGCTTCTGATTTTGAGTGAAGTAGAACAAGCCAGGTCATTCTACTGAAATCATCTACGATAGTTAAACATTATTTGTAACCATCGAAAGTAGGAGAGGATTTTGGACCCCAGATGTCAACATGTATTAAGGAAAATGGATGTGTAGAAACAGTTGAATTGTCTGGAAAAGGAAGCCTCCTTTGCTTTGTGAAGTGGCAAACATCACAAGGTATAGAGCTGTTTGTATCTATGGAGTTACATATCTGTTTCAACTTTGGAATTTTAAAGTGAGAAACATGGCCTAGTCTATAATGCCATAGGTCAAAGCTATTTGCAGTAGTAGTGGAGGCTATGACAGGCTTAGGGCTACTGGTTGCACCTAGATGGGTCATGTGGTAGAGGCCATGGGAAAGCTCAGCAAAACCAGTCACTCTCCTGAGCTCCAAATCCTGTATTATGCATACATCAGAGAAGAAAGTTAAGCACAAGGATCTGTTTGTGGTTAACTTGCTTACTGATATAAGGTTGAATGTGAACTGAGGGACAAATAGAACTGCCTCAAGTGTTAAATCTGCTACAGATGTAACACGACCAATATGTGTAGCTTGTACTTTAGCTCCAGTAGGTAAATTGATGAAGACATTATGTAGACTACTTGGATTTTCTAGGAGATTTAGTGAGCAGACAATGTGGTCTGAGGCACCAGTGTCTAATATCCATGTTGTGCTAGAAGGTGATCTACCAGAAGCATTCAAGGAATGTTTACCTGAGGGTCCCTCATAGGAATGGAAAGCAGCTGTTGTATGAGGATTGTTTCTCTGTGAATCTTTCTTTTTGAGCATAGCCATGAATCTGTCATAGTCACCCTTTGTTAATCTCACTCTTGGTTGTCAGGATTGGTAGAGCTGGAAGAAGCAGGAGTCTGACTGATGAAGGCAGGAGCTTCAATTCTCATTGGAGTGGTATTTGGATTGGCCTTGGAGGCTCCAAAGGAAGGCCACCCATGCTTGTGAAAGCAACTATCCTCAGTATGACCCCTCCTTTTGCAAAAGGTACATTCGATAGCTTTACCCTGATTGGTTGTAGTGGGAACTCTTGGAGTCATACCAGGAGGCCAGCCATGTTTATGGTAACAAACATCTTCAGTGTGGCCATTCCTTTTGCAGTATGTGCAGTAAGGGCGTTTGCCTTGTGAGCCTTGAGTAGCAAGAACTATAGATTCAGAGGCAAGAACCCTACTTTGTTGAGACCCAAATTGTTGCCTTTCATGTTGAAGTAGACGCTGGAAAACCTTGTCAATAGAGGGTAAGGTCTCTCCAAAAAGAACTTGGGATCTCACTGTAGAGTAGTTATCATTCAGACCCCTAAGAAACTGGATCACATAGTTGGTTTCTTTGTAGTGAAGAACTAGTTTCAGGGCAAGGCATGTTTGATGACTAGTTGGGGTACAAGCACAAGATTCTATCGGTTGATAGCCATCTAGTTCATCTTGGATGGCAATGAAGTGACCATAGTACTCGTTGAGAGTTTGATTACCTTGCTGGAGACTAGAGAGTGATTCAATGAGTTCTGCCACTCTAACAATGTCTCTTTGACCATATCGAGCCTTTAAACTTTGCCAGGCTTCAGAAGCGATCTTGAGAGACATCAGAGTCTTGCGAATGCCTGGTTCAACAGCTTGTTGAATCCAGCTGAGAACCATAATGTTGTTCCTTGTCCAGAACCAGTGAAGAGGATCTGTGTTTGTTGTTGGAGCAAGGATGGTGCCATCAATGAAGCCGAGTTTGTTCTTCGCTCCAAGGGCATTGTACATCGCCTTGCTCCAGTCATTGTAGTTGGTGGGAGTGAGTTTTTCACCAACCAGCAAGACTCCAGGTTGTTCAGAAGCATGTAAGAAGTAGGGATCTGCCATGGGATCAGGTTGAGCTTGAGTTTGAGTTTGAGCCATGGTGAGAAAATTTTAGAGGCGGCTAGGGTTGAGGCTCTGATACCATATTGACAATGTTGAGTGGAAAAACCCTAAAACCTGGGTTGTGTCTTGCATTGAGATGAATTTATATGTGGCATTGCCACTACAAGTTAAGGATCAGCTGCTCTGTCCTTTTACAGCAGAGTAAGATGAAAAGGAAAATGCAACAGGGAAAAAATACAAAAGAGAGCCTATTGTGACGGGTTCTGTGATGCTGTGCCATTTAAGGCAACGGTCGACTTCCTCTCCTTTACGACGTCGCTCCATGTCTTTACTTTGGAATTTTCAATTTTAGCGGTTAAATTGCAAAGTTGAAGATAAGAACAAACCCATTTATTCACCATTGATTATTAATTAATTAACTAATTACCCTTAAAAAGAAAGATTTTGAACTTTGCCCGAATGGCTCTATCTATCGTTTTCTGACAATCTCAGTTTCAGCATCTATTTTCACGAAACAAAACCTTCTGGAGCGACGTGTTGTGGATTTAATCAAACGCTTTTTTATTAACTTAAACTATATGATCTCCAACAATTGTTTTTTCTTTCTTTCGTGAAGCGCCAAAGCCAAGTTGTAGTGTAGGAAGGAACTTGGTATCTGCAATTAGCAAAGGAATCCGAATCAAACAGAACCTTTTCTTTTATAATCAACAACATGATGCGAGAAAGCAATGGAAACCCCAAAAACTATATTTATAATTATACGTTTACCTGCCCTGATCGAACTAATCAACCGCTATATATATATTTACAATAACCTTAAGTAAGTCTTAACTGTTGGACATGTTGGATAAGGAGAGATGACTGACTCTCTGACTCTCTCTAAGTAAACAATTAATTTGGTGGCAAAATGAAAATTTCATACTTATCTTTGCTTTGTCAAAACCAACTAGTTGTACAATCAATAAATTCCACAAAAAGGTAAAGTAGATTATTATAGGGTTTAAGACAATTGCATTTACGTAACAGGAAATATACGTAAATGCAGCTTGCTAAAATATACGTAAATGCAACTTAGTTCATGGTATAAATTGAGATATCGCTATATTTACTACAAATAATGTGTGTGTAAATATACGGCCACAACACCACACTATAAATAACATAAAGCTAGCAAACCAAAAAGGTTATAAAGCAGGTGAGAACCTCATCACACCACCAATGTCATAAATCATACCAGCAAACTCAAAGTAGATCACAGGTTCTCGAAAGCATACCAGAAAGCGAATAAAGCATACCACAACTTCCTGAACCATACCATAAACCTTATAAAGTATATCACAAGTTTATTAAAACATACCAAAAGTTTCTTAAAGCATAACAGAATCCTCGTAAACATAACACAAGTTCACTGAAGCATAATATAAAGATCATAAGACATACTAGAAACCTCATACATTTGGTCTATTCGTAGAATTTAAAAGTTGAGGTACTAAAATATCATATTTCATTGATATTTTTAGGAATTATATGAAAATAATAATTTTAGGCACTAAAACTTAAAATCTACTAAATTTAGGTGTCAAACTCTAATTTGCATATGAAACCCAAATCCATGGAATGAAGGAGAGGAACTGTTATAACTTATCAGTAGTAGTTACTATAATACCCTTATAATTAGTGTTAGTAGGTTGCTAACATTAATGGGTGTTAGGCTGTTAGCACTCTATCCGATCCCACAACACTACTTTATGGTAAATATTTTATAAGAATATTGGTTCATTTTCCGTGCGTTTATGTACATTTTTAATGCATAAAGTTATGCAATTTTATACTATTATTGATATTTTCATCATTTTATTGATTCTAAATAAGCACTATTTTCAATTTCATTACGATGATGACTGTCGACCAGCAAGAAAATTTATAAATTAAATAAATTTGGATAAAAAACACATTCACAATCTATTTGCATTTCAATAATTTCTATAAAATTCTAGGTACAACTCTGTACATACTAGTAGCCATTATATATGAAAATATTTGAGTAAAAATGCAGCTGTAATTCTATTTTATGTCATTATACTAGTTAAAAGTTAGAGATTAAATTTATTTTTGATTAGTTTATTTGTTGGCTAGAGTTATCGTGAAAGATAAATTTGGAAAAGTATCCATTAGTTATCGTAAGCGTAACGAACATTTGGAAGTGGATCCAAACCACTGTGCCTTTTCTCGTTTTAATACATATTCAACCTTATAAAAAAAAAGTTTGCTCCAACTAGCTAATCTAAATCTAATATGCTCAAACCCGGCCCAAGGGTATGACGACAATAGAGTGGAACAATCGGTAGTGGTTTTAATTAAATATTTGTTATTATTCCTATGTGACTTCTACGATGCATCTAAGAAGTGAGTGAATACCATACATGAACGACATTGGGAGAGATTGGATCGTTAAGAAGATGCATTCCCTAGCTACGCTAAAACAAGTTAACTTTAGCTAGTGCTTCAAGGTGGCTGGAAAGATGGAGAAGTTTGTGCTTTGTGAATAAGAGTGTAAAAGTTCAGCCATTGATGTTGTGGGTGAAGTTCCAATTAGACATATCCTGAATGATGGCTGAAATGATGTGGTAAGTGTTGGATTTTGAGTCCTTGAAGATCTTTGCATAATATTCAAGTTCGATCATACCTGTATTTGACATTACAGGACAGGAAGCACCACCCTTCTAACATTAGAGAACACGAATGACTTCGATCACAACAAGGAGACCTGAGTGTCCGATTCATTTGAAAACCAATTCCACTGGACCTAAATGCAGCAAATCCATTAGATTCGAATGAGAACTCATCGTCATGCATCCGAAATCGAATCGAAACTGCAGGTTCTAATCGATCCGACCGTCAGTAAGACCTACTATGTTACATAAGTATGCAGTGTTTATCAAGTTGCAACCGCATAAGTGTATGTGAAAGAGATCGAGAGGCGTCGTTCCAAAAGGAGATGCTAATTCTTCCTTGACCAGGTCGAACGACCATACAATTCCAAAACGTATTTGATTACTGGCAATGATTATTTTTTAGAAAGATGGACCAGGAAAAAGATGGATTGCCTAGCTACGCTGAAACATGGGTCATCCTGCCAACTGCATCTCTGTTTCTTTTACTTGTTTCCAATAACATAGGGTTGCCAATCGTATCAAGTTTAAGAAATAATCAACACAGAACACCAAGATTACGTGGTTTCCCCAACGATGTTGATGTTGAGACTAGTCCACGGCAAAAGGTTGTGATCTCTTATTCACGTTCACCGAAAGTCTACTTTCGCCGAAACCCCTCTACCAACATATATACATAGCTGGTGCCCAAGCCCTAACCCATGTCAGAAAGCAAAATATTTACATGGCTAATTACAAAAAGGTACATAAACCTTTTAACTTCTAACACCCTCCCTCAAATTGATGGTGCTGACGCAACATCAATTTGTGTGCCAGAAACCAATGGCGTGCAGAAGCAACCGCGTTAGTCAACAAATCTGCAGTCTGATCCTCTGACGTGATATAAGCAAGCTCAATAGTACCCTCTGTTACCAACTGCCGAATATAGTGCACATGTACCTCAATATGTTTTGTGCGATCGTGGAGAACAGGGTTGGTTGCGATGCGAATCGCACTCGTGTTATCAGCATAGAGACGAATCGAAGTTCGGCATACTACACCAAAGTCAGTAAACAAGCGTTAAAGCCATTCTAACTCAGAAGTGACCTCACTCATAGACCGATACTCCGCTTCAGTAGATGACTTCGCGACCCGATCTTGTTTCTTACAACGCCAAGAAACAAAAGACTGCCTGAACTTCACACACCAACCCGACGTCGACCGCCGTGTATCTAGGCAACCTGCATAGTTAGCATCAGCATACGCCTCCAGAATGATACTACTGCCCTTAGGAAAATACAATCCCACGGTCTGCGTGCCCCGGAGATACCGAAGAATGCGCTGAACCGCTCGCCAATGATGAGTACGTGGGGTAGACATGTACTGACTGACAACCTGTAGTGCATAAGCAATGTCAGGAGGCGCGTGAGTGAGATAAATCAGACTCCCCACTATACTGCGATACAGTGTACCGTCCGGAAGTAACTCACCTGACGACCATGTTAACTATAAATTTTGCACCATCAGCGTAGGACACGAGTCACAAGTATCCATTTGTGCCTCCTCCAAGAGGTCAACAATATACTTCCGTTGACACACATGAATACCTGTTGCCGATCTATCAAATTCCAAGCCCAAAAAATAAGATAACGTACCCAGTTCCTTGAGGTTGAACACATCCTGGAGAGTAGCCTTAAGAAGTACTATCCCCGCCTGATCATTGCCACTAATGATCATATCATCAACATAAAGGAGGAGGACAGTGATGCCACAATCAGTATGACGAAGAAACAGAGAGGGATCATTCTGACTCTGCACAAAGCCTGCCCTAAGAACTGTACTCTGGAACTTCTCAAATCAAGCGCGAGGAGCCTGCTTTAGACCATACAGGGATCGACGAAGACGACACCATGGTCTTATCTCCCTTAGAGTAACCCGGTGGACATTTTTAACCAGACTCTGATACCACTTGTCATAACCGGGCCGCTCAATTAGTACGATATTGTCCGCTTTGGGCCAAGCACGCACGGATTTACTCTTGGGTGTCCTTCCCAAAAGGCCTCATACTAATTGGGCTAGGTGGACACTAATATACAAGGGTCTCTTCCTATTACCGATGTGGTACTTGGATTGTCCCATAACAATCCTCCCCTCAAGACAAGGACCACAAACTTTGTGTCCTCCCCTCGGTGATTATCTTGATCCTCCAGACGCCTTGTATCGATGGGCTTCTCGGTACAAAGACTTTACTAGACGCATAACTCTCTTTGATCCGCCAAGCCCAAATGTGGATCTCTCGTGGATCCACCAAACCAGACGCAAATCTCAAATCCCGAGGTCACCCGAATGAGGGTCCTACCAAACTGACGTCCACCACCCTGGATCCGAACCAGGCTCTGATACCATGTCAATCGTATCAAGTTTAAGAAATAATCAACACAGAACACCAAGATTACGTGGT